ATATATATATATTTCAGCAGAATCTTTCTATGTCATCATCAGAATGTCATGATGGTCTCCTCTGACTCACGGGTGATGTTAACAAATTATTGTTTTTAACACAAGGAGTACTTTTATTCACATGAAAAATTCTCAAATTGCTTTTCTAAAAGGCAGATGGACAACTGGCGGCCCGCGGGCCCGATGTGGTCCACGGGCGACTTTCGGGGGGCGCTAATGTGGGGACATAAGAGCTGCTTCGAGTCCTTTTTAAGTAAAAATAAATATATATTTGTTAACAGAACTTCATTCAAGGCAAACCTAAGTGTCTGCCATGAAGGATTTTAATAGGTCACTACAACACGTTGCACAAAGCTAAATATGACAAATTTAACTGAAGTCGCATGAATATAAACAACAGTGAAATTTTTACCAGTCTGCATTCAAGGGGTCTTATACCGTTGCACTTCAGCTCACTAAAGTAAGTGTTTAGTTTTTGTTTGCTTCAGTTGTTTTGTACAACTTGTATACCTGCATTTGAGCATGAAATGCTAAGTTACTGCATTGTATATTGGTTTAATAAACAAAGTATATATAAAAACATGTTTAAAATGGCAGTTTTATTGCATTTGGTTAAGTGTGCAGCACTATGAGACACTCTGGTAGTTCAACAAAAAATTGCGGCCCTTTCCATCATTTAAATTGCCCACCCATGGACTAAGGCCTGGGATATGTCAGCCTCACAATAGGTGACAATAACACAATGAAAGATTGTAACACCTAAAAAAATGCAGCATTAAAAAACAAATGTATTCTAGGAAATTTACCTCATGTAAACAGAACTTTGCCTCAAAAACCTTCGCCTTCATAAGATCCCGTAACCCCTCTGGAAAGTTCACAACAAAAGAGATAAAAATAAGCTCAATGAAGTAAAGAGAAACGAGGCTGTATATAGCTCTTTACTCACCTCCTGAGCGGATCAGCGTGTGGTTTAAGATGAAGTGGACGATCCTTATCCTGCAACGAGGGGCAAGTATCACTTGTAAACTCATCGCAGCAAATGAGGTTTCATTCAGACAATGGATTCCAAAAAAAATAAATAAAATAAAATAAAAACTCGCCTTTTTCACGGTGACGGCTAATTTAAAAAAGACAATTCAAAACAACACAGCTGCACAAGGTGACAGACTAAGATTTAACCTACAAATGACAAAGAGACGAAGCATCTACCGTAAATGAGATCGGCAGAGATTTCTTGTAATGATTACATCGTGCGCCTGAACAGGATGCATGCTTTAAATAGCATCAGACAGGGTTCAAAATACCAAAGATGGTTGCAGTTTACCTGGTGCTGAGAGTGACCGAGTTCTGGTCTGAGCTCCAGTTACAGGCGTCGGACACTTTGAGCAGATACCTGTACTTCTCAAAGACTTCTTTAGGAGCCTGGATCCCATAGAAGACAAGATCGTCGTCTATAATTTTCTGACAGGAAGAGAAAGAAAAAAAAAAAGTGACTGAACTGTGTCACCTTTGCCGCACAGTAACAAACATAGAAACAAAAATAAAACTCACAGTCACTTTGAAGTTCTTCTTCTTCAGCCCGTTTATGTACTCCGTCTGTTTCTTGAAGACCTCTCGCTCTTGGTCATCGACCGATTTGGCGACCAGGACGTAGTCATAAGACAGCGGTGTGATCTGTGAGATGAAAACAATGTGTCATATTTTCTAAATTGAAATGAAATCTGTAATTTAATCAGGTGTTTTGATGAATTTAATCGTCTCACCACTGGAGGAAGTTCATTTCCATTCTCCTTGACCACTCCGATGAATTCCAGCAGCTCAATACTGGGCTTTACCACAAAACACAATAAAAAAAACAAACATTATTACAGAATTAATAAAGAATTGGTTCAATAGTTTTAAAACACTAATAAAAAGGACTGCACCCATGTCTGTTAGCCAAATAATTCATGAACCACTGGACAGATTTTACTGAAACTTTCAGAAAGTAATTACTACATACATATCCACAACTGACTAATCACTGGAGTCACTCTGTTCAAGATGGCTGCCACAGCCATTTGATCTCGAAAAACACAAAATGATTATAGCTTTATCAACTTTACAGGTATTGTAATAAAATTTGATGTGGTAGTAACTGAGAGTCATTCACAACACACACTGGAGTGTTTCCATTGCATGTGATCTTTGCTTGAAACTGTTTTCTAGTCAACCCGGTTTGTCTGTTAGCAAAATATCTTATTAAACACAGGACAGATTTCGATGAAACTCTCCGGATGTATTCATTAGTTGGTTAACTTTAGGAATCAGTCCAATTCCAAATATCTGTCACATGCTATCAACATTGGTTAACACAAAAATGACTATAACTCAGTCAGTTTTACAGCTTTAAGGCTAAAATTTGACTTGGGAGTAGCTGATAGTCATCTGCAACATATACTCTGAGCTTGACAGCTTGTGGGATTGCTGCTGCTGAAATTTTAACACAAAAGACAGAGAGCGATGTGCATTCGTTCAACAAATGTAAGGGCTTTAAGCATTCTTTGCTAAAGGTCAAATGGTTTCATGATGTCATTGCAATCTATCAAAAAAGGTCCTACAAAGGAATCCTGTCTAACTAAAATCCAGAGGTGTGTCGAGGATTGCCACTGTGCCTCAGTCTGACTCACAGGACTGCCAGTGCAAAGTTTCAGTGTAAGATGAATTAGTGACATGACATTTAATATGGTCCCCATTATCAGTCCAGTTCATGCTGATCCCACATCCACAGCCTACCAACAGAATGGGTCTGAGTACACAAAAGGTGTGGCTGATCTTGGAATCGGAACCCTGTGGTATCAACAAACAGACTCAACATGAACCAAAACCGAGATTAGATTAGGCGGGAGCTATAAAGAAAAATAAATAAAATAAAATAATACCAGGACCGGCAGTGGTTGGTGGACTGTAGTGTCTAAAACAGCCAAACAGCAGGTCTGCAGCAAATCAAAACTGACAGGAAAAGGCAGATCTCAGAACAGCTCTGTTGTGATGTTTAGGTGTGATCACCCACCTGTCTCCTGTGACCCCGCATGATGCAGCGACGACCCCCCTCCCTGGATTACAGCAGACCCCCTGTCACCATCCACGGGTTCCTCCTCACAGCCTCAGTCTGCTGCTCTGATTTGTCTCCAGCTGGAACATTTACACGATCAGTCCTCAACCACACAGGAGGCAACTTCCGGATTTCATCTAAGCAAGAAGAAGAAGAAGGGGGGAGAAAAAGCGTTGATGTTTTCCTGACAAAGGTATGTCAACGCGACTCCACCTGTTGCCCTGCTGCTGCTGTCAGAATAAAGCCGCCACCTGTAGCTGAGTCACCTCATCCGGCCCAGAGCAGGAAGCCACGCCGCCTGCCCGTGCGTGTGGTCATGTTAGACCAAAAGAATCAAGAGGTAAAAAGAAGACTCTGGATGTGATTTGTCAGGTGCGATGGAATGGAAGTGTTTTTTTTTTTAATTGCTTCCTCCTCCTCAAAAAGCGTGCAAAAATACCTTCAATCTGCCGCTAGATGGCAGCAAACATTGACTTGTGAACATTGGCTGTGCATTATTTACAGCCCGGTTTATTAAGCGGCTGTACGGGTGAGCGGAGTTTGCCGGTGTATCAACAGGGGTTCCCAAACATTTTCATGCCATGGCCCCCCAAAACAGCATTAGCTTCTGTCTGGGGACACCCCCTTGCAAACCCACAAAAAATGCTACAAAATATGCAAAGAAACCTTAACTTTTAGAATATTTTTCACAGTTTTATTCACTATTTAACAATATTTTTGTTTAGCATAAAAAATTATAACATGTTGAAAAAACTATATTATATTCCCACAGAGAAAAAAAAACTCTTCAACAAACTGTTGATAATAAGAACAGAAAAACACAAATCAAACCTTTCTCAAGCTCTCTTATGTAACATTGGTATTATCATAAATTATATTTTAAAATAAGGATTGAAAAACAGATTTGATTTTATTGTTATGATTTAAAACAAACAGCAAGATGGACAACTATCAAATAAATAAATAAAAAATCAAGTAAATTATCTGATGATTTTTTAAATTATTATTTATTTATTTATTTATTTATTATTGTTAATTGATTTGTTTTGTATTGAATGAATATATTGTTCTGATAAATCATTCCTGGTTTAAGATGACACCCCCTTGTTTGACATAGACTCCTCCCATCCCCAGGTCATAGCCAGCTGAATAAAAAGGAGTGTGCCCACTTACATAGTCCCTGTCTGAGTTGGCTGTGAATGAATCATCCTACACACATCATCAGTCTAACATTTAATAATTGGCATTTTCAAGGAACAATTATTTTTCTTAAGAAGCAGCACTGATACTTAAATGTAAAAATGCTCTTTTAGAAGTGTAGTTTACACGTTAGGATGGATTTATTGTAATAAATGAGATCTTTAGATCATTAACATGAAGACATCTCTGTATAAGCATTTTATTCAAACACTGAAATAAAATATAAATACCATTAAAATGGTATTAATGTACATTTGCCTTTTCAGTGTGATTTCACACATGGAAATATAAAGCTAATGTAAAGCATGAAAACTTTAAAATAAACGGATCTTATTTTCTACAATGAAAAAAATATTTTTCATTCTGCTCTGTTTTTGTCAGGCCCATCAGAGGGATGTGCATTACCTTAGACTATAAATGCTATATTGTTAAAGTACTGAACACCTAATAATTATCTAAATAAAAGGCCTAGCACTCATTTAAAGGGGGTGAGGGGTATGTATTTCACAAACATAGTTCAAGTAACTATGTTACCTTCAGTTGTTATGAAAAAGCTGTGTATATCAAAAATAAATTGGACTTTGCATCATAGTCTACCTAAATGCCTTGAAATAGGCCTTTGTCTCTTTAAGAACCTCCTACCATTTCTGGCACTTCCACTTCAGCACATCTTCACAATGCTTTGGGGGAGGGGTGCTCTGTGGGGCGGGAGCTCAGCTACAGACTAAGATCCAGGGAGGAGCTTTGTGTCAGTAATTTAAGAAGGGGGACAGGTGTGTTCCATTTATTAATGGATCAGACATCCCAGGCTCCCCAGGAACGTTTACTCCAGTGTGTTGGAAAGGAGATGTCTCTGAACCTTAGTTGCAGAAGTAGTAGTATGGCTTTGGAACCGTGAACCAGATCTTCATCCCTGTGGGTTTGCTGAGGGGGCCATCCATGGGAGTTTGACTCTACAATCTACACTTGTTTTGTGGACCTAGAATAGATTCGAGTACGGGGTATCAGGGCCATCTTTAAGAGCGATCTGGTATAACCAGGGGCGGGGCCAGAGTGTTGGAGGGGTGGCCATGGCCACCATAGAAAATTCTTCAGCTACCCCAACCTTTTGAATTAAGAAAGCTTCAAGACAGGAAGTGAAACGTCTTCAGTTTCAGGAATGAATTCCAGTTGTTTTGGTTTTGTTTGGCTTTTTTTTTTTTGGATTGATCATGATCTGGGTAACTGAGAATCTTCACCAGCACTACCCCAACCTCTGCTTTGCCATCAATATATTGGTGAAGCCATTTATATACCAACATGTTCATTTCAACTACAATGTTCAAAGAAGTAATTCTCATGATGTAATTCTAAAAAGTAATCACTGCCTGTGAAAGAAACATGATTAGATCCTCAGCTAATTCGTTTAGCAAAAACACAAGCCATTTTCTGGGCCACCGGTCCCAGTGGTCCCAGTCTGGTCACCCCTATAGGAACTGCCTTCTGCTACTGTGTAGAACCAAAGCTCGTATCAGTATCCTTGGCACAAAGTTGAGCTTGTTCTCAGTGTCGACTAAACCCTGCCATATTTTACTAACAGACAGGATTAACTCCCAAGTTATTGGCAAAGTTTGAAAAACAAATTAATAAAGGAAAAATTCTCATTGTTGAATAAAAACTTACCACATCTTAGAGTTTCTGCAGGAAAACATTTTATTCCTCGAACACGCAATCTTTTGCCCCAGCACTCTTACTTCTGCAAATTTCTTTCTGTAAGAAATATTTTCACTTTTGCAGGAAGTGCAAAGAAAGGATTAATAAAATTTGTGAAGAACTTGTGACACGATGAGCATTTAACCTGCTTTTGCACATTTAAATACGTCTCATCCCTGGGCTCAACGGCTGCTCCTGCCTCCTCCTTTGGCATTGTGTCAGCTATGCTTTCTGCTGGGCCTCGTGCAGTGGCGGGGTTGCCCTCTGGACAGTTTTCTGGCCGTCCCCGTGGAATTTTGTGTTTGTTTTGGTCTCCCTTTTCAACGCTGAGAGCCGTCGTTGGGGGGTGGGGGGTGGGAGTGGGTAGCTGTCATGATCTGTGTTTTTGTCTTTGTTTTCTTAGTGTTTTTCTGTTCCTCCTGTGTTTTCCTCTCCCTGCTGTTTCTCAGCTCAGCTGCCCCACATTACTCTGATGATTACTCTTGTTTCTCCCCATGTGTTTTCTGTTCACTCATTAGTTTTCAGTGTATTTAAGCCTTGTCCTGTCTCTGTCATTGTGCTGTGTTCCCCCTGCCTGTGTGATCACCTCGTGAAGTTTGAGCTGCCTCGACAGCATTTTTCTGTTACTTAATAAATCTTTTGTTCCATTTTTTTTAGCCTGTCTGCGCCCTGGGTCTGTTCCTGCATAACCCTGTCACCTCTAAGCTTGTTTGGGATAATTTGTCACATTAATTTAATTATCTAAGCCAGTGTTTCCCAAACTTTTTATCTTCTGACCCACAAAATATCCATGGCAAAAACTTGTGACCCCAAATATTACTGGTCTGAGTACACAAACTTCATTAATAACCCTAAAAACAAAGGCTTTTTGACAATCTAAACAGCTAGTACACAAATATAAATATTTATTTATACTTATTTTGTGTTTTTGTAATAATTATAGGGAAAATATTACATCAGCAATTATTTTATTACCCTTTAAATTGATTTCTGGAGATTATCCAAGGTGCTTCATGACCCATAATTGGGTCCCAAGCCCAACTTTGGGAACCAAAGTGCAGTGGTTCCCAAACTCTTCAGCTTTTGACCCACAAAATAATAGTAGCAGAGACCTGAGCCCACAACTATTTTTGTATGATAAACATTTGTATCAGGTCAACTAAACATGGGCATAGTAACAATATTTTTATACTACGTTTATCCATTTTAAATATACTAACCTCACTCATTTGTAACAACTAAGTCAAAAAATGTAATTAATTCAGAAAATATTTTCAGGACCCCACCTTGATGTTTCAGGACCCCACTTTGGGTCCCGACCCCAACTTTGGGAAACACTGATCTAAGCCATAACTGAGTTTAAAAACATAATGATGCAACTAGTTTAATGAAGAATCAGTCTCTAGTCATTAAATCAGGTGTTTATTTATGTAAGTAAGTAAACAGCCTGTTAAAATACACTAGAAATCAAGAAATGGTTTCTAATTTATTCAAAATTTTCTGGGGAAGGACCTTCCTCCAGTGTGTCTTTTACACACATAAGACTTCTTATGTGAGAGGATAAACCAAAACCTGTAGTGCTCTACCTGTGTGTCTCGGCATGAAACTATGGCTGATTGTCAAACTGTATTCTTAGTGAGTTTAAAGGACTGATACAGTATATCAGGTGAACATAATCTCAATTAATATGATTTGAGTATTATTGCATCACAACAGAAACATTTGGTGTTCGGTTGTTGACGAGTGCAGACAGTTAAATTGAGCACACACTGATTACATGCTGAGTCTTGGTTTGTGTTAATCAGGTGGTGGTGGCCTGAGTTGGTATCATCCCTTCGGCCTGGATTATTGTACCAGTCCTCCCCTGTTTTTAATTATTGTGTTTTCAGACAGCATTTGGCATTCATATTTATGGTTTGGCCTTATTCGTAGCAACAACAGAAAAACCTGGTCGCACAACTATGGGTGTGTCAGACCCTGTCCCCCATGGTGTGTCCCCACCAACTTTCAGCACAAAGTTAATCCCCTGCATTGAAAGACTCATAATAAACAAACAAAACACACAAAACTCTGTTCTTATCAACAGACTGAGGGATAATTTTGGTATTTCTGGCTCTGTGTTAAACTGGTTCACCTCTTATTTATCTGAACGGTCTTTTACTGTTTTTATGAATCAGGTTTACTCTGATGTTGCACCGCTGTCTTGTGGGGTACCCCAAGGTTCAGTTTTGGGTCCAATCCTCTTTTTGTTGTGCCTATACCCTCTTGGAGGTATTTTAAAATGTTACAGTAATGTGCCATACCATCTGTATGCTGATGACATACAGTTGTACTGTTCCTTTCGACCCTCTGAGTTCTTCAAACTATCTGAACTCAGTAACTGTCTGTCAGAAGTCAAAATATGGCTGAACAACAACTACCTGCAGTTAAATGCAAACAAGACTGAAACTCTTATTATCGCCCCTGATGATAAAATCC